ATATTTCAGTTATTAATGATAAAGTTCAGGAGATGGGGTCATCACATACAGAAAGTTTTTGCCTCTTATAATTGCTATCCGTTGGCTTAAGAGGGCTTTTAAATTGTAATAAGGACTTGCATATTATGTGATCTTTTGATTTCATCACTCAAAAATGTATTGTTTTTGTTTAATCCTGAAGTTTTGGGTACAAGTACCTGTAGACACCTGAAGAAGGTGTTAATGACCTTCCAGGAGGTCTAATATACACCCCCTATAGACAGTAGTGGTGATATAGTTTTCTATATAAAACTATTAGAAGCATATAAAGTAGTGTTTTCTTAACCCCAGACATAAACATATCTTTAAGCAGCTGAGTGGTGTCTATGGTAAAGTTGTAATTTGGTATAATTTGGAATCCTATGTGTCAAACATGATGGATGGTTACAGTTGTTGATAAATAGCCTGTCAAATGTATAGCATACATATGTAAAGATAAAGTTAAAAACACTAACAATTCAGTTTGTTTCATTTGGTTTCCATCTGCAATCTTTTTATTTATTTAGAAAATTGCTAGATTTTTCTCGAATGTAAATGCAGTAGAATAAAATTATTCTTTAAATTGGAACCCGGTATGAAATTTCTACAGTGAATTCAACTTAGGCAAATTAAGATGAAAGAATGCTTTTGCTTTTCTTTGATGCAGAAAAATGAATTTAATTAGGATGAACTGTCCTGTTGATGTACATAATCAAATGTTTAGTGGTGACAGAGTTACCTCCCATAGTAGACAGATGTTGTAAAAACAAGAACCAAGTAGGATTTAATTAGAAGCAGATGACAAAGTATGCAATGACAGACACAGCAGTCAGTCAGCTTGACCTTAAGTTACCTTGAACTTGTGTATTCCTACATGTGTACATGTGTGGATGTAGTCAATGGGAGTCTGAATACTTTATTGTAAATTTAATTGATCACTGTAGGTTGCTGTAGGAGAAAATCCATAATGTTCTAATCAGGGAATTATATATATATTGCACATAATAAGGTAAGACATTAACATAGAAATTGATTCTTAATCAATTACAAAATATTAAAATTGTCCTCCTACACCTGTTTAAATTAGGAAACATTGTGACATGCAGTGTTGGTTGGAGAATAATTTCCATAAATAAATCTCATTTGTTGAGGTAAAAAGTATGAAATTGGAGTTAATTGATGTAAATGGTATTTGATTCTTTGCATACAGATGGTGTCAATAAAGATTTAAAAGGACTGCTACTTGATGATGGAAATAGTGAATTGTGAATATTTCTTCTGTATAGGATTATAAATTATACCACAGGTTTGTGCAATATAAATACAGAATTTACAGGACATTTTAGAATGAAAAAATGGAATAAATGTGATGAGATTAATTATTTCCCACCCTGATCAGGACATAATTTCCTTTTAAGCTGAATCTTTCAGTTAAAGGGGAATTTTATATTTTATTCACTATTTGTAATGTATATTCAAGCAGTTTGAATGGAAAAAGTGACTGCCGTGATATATGTCTGATAGACACAAATCTGCTGAACACATGTTTTATATTTATACATCATATTACTACATTTTTAAATCTGTTAAAATTACAGGAGTTTAATTCAAGTTTTTGTTTTGGCTGCATGCATTAAGTCAATACAGACAGACAATATCATGATTTTATTGGACTTCTTGCATAATGTTTTTACAAGAAAATCTATAATTCTCTGCATATAAGTTGGGACAGTACTAAACTTATAAAAGGTAGGAATGTTTATATTATCTTAATTGGTTGGTGATTTTTTTTGAAGATAGTGGAAATGACCAAAAAAAAATAATATAGGAGACTGCTGTGCTAAATATATCTGCTATAAACAGTGGAAGTTTTATGCAGCAGTCATTGTGATGAGACATTCTGGTTCCTGTCTAAATGCTATTCATTATGAATTAAAGAAATCATAGTTTGTCTGCCTAATATTTATGATATTTTTATGACAAGCTACCTGTTTGTGTCTACATGTAAAATTAACATATACTCAGGAAGTCAGGTTTTGCCATCTCTTATGAACTTGATGGAAAACAGGAAATAAATAGGGAACTTAATGGACGATTGTATCATTCTATATTATAATAAAGATGGATCTATGATTTAATCTTACTATATACATGGATCTATTTACAATGTAAGTCAGGAAAAAGTACTTTTTATAGACAATAACACAAAAACAATGTGTTAAATATAAGCAAAGATTAGCCAATTTATAGACACAACATTTCATGGCTTGAACATTTAAGTAGTTATAGAGTGCAATAAACTATCTATGTATGTCTTTTTGTCAACAATGTTTTAAAATATCATCTTTTAAAGATATGAAATTCATCAGATTTGCCAAGATTTTTATCATGTTTATGAGAGTTGATTTGTTCTTTTCAGAAAAGAATAAGTTAACTTGAAAAAACATCATGTTTGATTTGACATGACATAAAATATCAAAGCACCAAGGCGCAGAAGCAAATATTGGTTATGTCTACACAGAAATACTTGTGTAATGTGTGTAATATTTGTATAATTCATTAACCATATGTTTATCATGTAACCTAAGGTATGATTAATTTATTTTACTCAAGAGAATTCTCAAACTAGAGTTCTGGAATAATCTTGCTTTGCCTTCTTTTCCTGTTCAATTAGAAAGTATTTATTGAATAGAGACTTTTTTGTAAAGTAGATATAGAAAGTAAACTGATAGTATCAGGAGTATAGGATATGTATATTAGGACTTTCCAGTTGGCTATCAGTACAAGGATGTAGTTTGGAACATAAGCACTTCAAACCTGGTGTTGTTTATCATTACATGTTGTATCCTGTCAGTTTGTTTACAAAATACATGTACTTGTCTATCAGTCAATGAAAGGTTCCCACCAAATCTTTAAAATATATAAAGAAATGATTTAAATAAGTAGCACCTGTCTGGAAGTTGTTTTAAAGATAGCACAGGAAATTGTGAAATATTACTTTTATTGAGCTCCTATTATGATACAACACAGAGAGGGGTTCTCACAGGGAAACTGTGGATGTGAGGTTAATCCTTTTCATAATTTAAGTAGAACAAATAGGTTTTCAAGTATAAATAATCTGAAAGAAGCTCTGAAGTCATACAAATTTTATTTCCGGAAGTACAAAACACTCAAGATTGGTACTAGTATAAATTTGTGTATAAAGGTGCTTACTTGACCTGTAAAATAGGACTAATGTGGTGTGGATTACTATCATTGTCTTAATTCATAACTTGTGACCAAAAATAAGTTGTCTTATATCCTTAGACTTACATGAACTAAATTAGTGGACTAGTCGGTAGGAATATTCAGAGAGTAGTACACAATGACTCATCCTATTTTAGGTCAAAGAGAGATAATTCTAACATAAGCCATTATTTTTCATTCTAGGTTATGATGATAAACCCTAATTAACACCATATGTTGTAATAGATTTTGTAATGAAGACAAATTAAAGTTGTGCCACTTTATGAGGTGCTTCTTATGATTACATAGGTGTAATTATTTTTTTAGATAAATTGTCTTGTGGGAAATTCTGTTACTTTAAATACTGAATATAAACATGAGCATGCATGATGACCATTTGTCCTAGGAGTTCATATCACAAGCATGCACGCACTGTTGAATCAAAAGTTTTCTGTAAGCTGTGCAATTTTTTGCCACCTGACTTTGAACTTATTCTCTGGAATTTACAAATGAGACAAACATTGACAAAGATAGTTGAGTATTTTTTAAATAGTTGAAAGAAAATTTCTTTCTTTTAGTGAGAATTCATTATTATTGGTGGGATATCAATTTTAGTGAACCACAAATTTAAATGTTCTACTAAGTACACAGTTTTATAGGCTTGTATGCAATCCATGAAAATTGATGCTCACAAAAATAAATGAATCCACAGTATTCTATTTTGGCAAGAAAAAAGCCACCACAGCCATGACAGCCACTAGAGACGTATGATACTTTTCTGATTGTCGAATACAACTGAAACAACTCACATTTAATATCTCAAATAGGTTCCTTGTGTGTAACTTATCAAGTACTATTCATTAGGAGCCTAATGACACATAGGTTCCTTTGGTAAAAAGAATGATGTTACTTTGGAACTGATCTGACAACTTAAGTACAGCTGTTGTTGTGAGCTTTTTTTTTACATAATTCTTAAGGAAATGTCTGGGTTGATTTATGGATTGATTAATGATTGCTTAACATTTTGTCAATGCAAAAAGGCTGTCACTTGATGAGAAAAAATGTTTTGGAGAATTGCCACTAGTTTAAATGGAATCAGGATCATGGCTTAATAGTTTCTTGTTGAGAACTTTTGGAGTCTTGATAAGCCAAGATATAGCCACAGGGATGGAGATAGTTAATGAATTGACTCCTATGCAGTATAAAACTGATTTTAACTAGAAACTTTCTTACAAGGTTCTTTTAAAATGTTAATACATTGTACTAGTCAATATATTCCAATTGAACATAGATATGCAAGTTCTTTCTGAGGAAGACATTTCTTGGGAAATATTGCTTCTAATCTAAGGAGAAATTTTTCTGTGTTGTTCTAAAAAATAAAAGGGTGGATAATTTAACACTAAAAAAATAGTGCCACTTTAACGATAAAAACTCGTGTGAGCCTCTAGTTTATAATACTCTTAAAGAAACTATATGTTAGTTTGAGTTTTAGTTGAGTTTTTCAGTAATTTTATTATCCTTTGAATTAGCTGGCTGAATATTGACATGATTGAGCATTTATCAAAACAATCAGAAATGAGGAAAATTTCTGGACATTTTTATATGGAGATCTCAGTAGAATGCAAAACTGTGAAATTTGTATTACTTACACCTACAAAATTCATAAAAATATCCTACAAACAAGTTTGAATTCACAATAATCAAAATATGTTTCTACATTAATTTCTGAGCTAATACAGAGCTTGTATTTGTTGTAGAATGGAAGATGAGGATTATTGCTACCGACCAGAAAGTGAAGTAGAAGCTGATAGTGACCATGAAGATCAAGATGCTGAAAATGAACTGGGACAGTGGTTAGGACAATTGGAAACTCTGAAAATGGTAAGTCTCAGAAACTTGTTTGCACCTCCAAACACTTTCAAATATGCAATGCAAGTTTTCTTATAACTTTGAAATGAATTTTTAAAAAGAAATTTTATGTAGATTGCAAATTGAAGATATATTCTCTGTGGAGTATTTTTAGTTGTTGTTGTGATTTAGCTGTTATTTTCTTTCCCTTTATTGTTTGAAGTAAGTTCGAAATGATTGTTGAAATCAATTATGGTTCAACTGTTGAGAGAAAAAGTATGTTAGATTTTATTACCTGCTTAAGTATTTACAATTGGAAACTAGAGTTGATTATTGACAGTCTGTAAAATATGGATGATAAACACAAGTAGTTAAATAGGACTATGGTATGGGGAAAACCTAACACTGAACAGTCTGTAAAATATGGATGGAAAACACAAGTAGTTAAATGGGACTATGGTACAAAGAAAACCTAACACTGAACAGTCTGTAAAATATGGATGGTAAACACAAGTAGTTAAATGGGACTATAGTTAGGGAAAACCTTAACACTGAACAGTCTGTAAAATATGGATGGTAAACACTAGTAGTTAAATGGGACTATGGTACGGGGAAAACCTAACACTGAACAGTCTGTAAAATATGGATGGTAAACACAAGTAGTTAAATGGGACTATGGTACGGGGAAAACCTAACACTGAACAGTCTGTAAAATATGGATGGAAAACACTAGTAGTTAAATGGGACTATGGTAAGGGAAAACCTAACACTGAACAGTCTGTAAAATATGGATGGTAAACACTAGTAGTTAAATGGGACTATGGTACGGGGAAAACCTAACACTGAACAGTCTGTAAAATATGGATGGTAAACACAAGTAGTTAAATGGGACTATGGTACGGGAAAAAACCTAACACTGAACAGTCTGTAAAATATGAATGGTAAACACAAGTAGTTAAATAGGACTATGGTACGGGGAAAACCTAACACTGAACAGTCTGTAAAATATGGATGGTAAACACTAGTAGTTAAATGGGACTATGGTAAGGGAAAACCTAACACTGAACAGTCTCTAAAATATGGATGGTAAACACAAGTAGTTAAATAGGACTATGGTACGGGGAAAACCTTACACTGAACAGTCTGTAAAATATGGATGGTAAACACTAGTAGTTAAATGGGACTATGGTACGGGGAAAACCTAACACTGAACAGTCTGTAAAATATGGATGGTAAACACAAGAAATTAAATGGGACTATAGTAAGGGAAAACCTAACACTGAACAGTCTGTAAAATATGGATGGTAAACACTAGTAGTTAAATAGGACTATGGTACGTGGAAAACCTAACACTGAACAGTCTGTAAAATATGGATGGTAAACACAAGTAGTTAAATGGGACTATAGTTAGGGAAAACCTAACACTGAACAGTCTGTAAAATATTGATGGTAAACACTAGTAGTTAAATGGGACTATGGTACGGGGAAACCTAACACTGAACAGTCTGTAAAATATGGATGGTAAACACAAGTAGTTAAATAGGACTATGGTACGTGGAAAACCTAACACTGAACAGTCTGTAAAATATGGATGGAAAACACTAGTAGTTAAATGGGACTATGGTAAGGGAAAACCTAACACTGAACAGTCTGTAAAATATGGATGGTAAACACAAGTAGTTAAATGGGACTATGGTACGGGGAAAACCTAACACTGAACAGTTTCTAAAATATGGATGGTAAACACAAGTAGTTAAATAGGACTATGGTACGGGGAAAACCTAACACTGAACAGTCTGTAAAATATGGATAGTAAACACAAGTAGTTAAATAGGACTATGGTACGGGGAAAACCTAACACTGAACAGTCTGTAAAATATGGATGGAAAACACTAGTAGTTAAATGGGACTATGGTACGGGGAAAACCTAACACTGAACAGTCTGTAAAATATGGATGGTAAACACAAGAAATTAAATGGGACTATAGTAAGGGAAAACCTAACACTGAACAGTCTGTAAAATATGGATGGTAAACACTAGTAGTTAAATAGGACTATGGTACGTGGAAAACCTAACACTGAACAGTCTGTAAAATATGGATGGTAAACACAAGTAGTTAAATGGGACTATAGTTAGGGAAAACCTAACACTGAACAGTCTGTAAAATATTGATGGTAAACACTAGTAGTTAAATGGGACTATGGTACGGGGAAACCTAACACTGAACAGTCTGTAAAATATGGATGGTAAACACAAGTAGTTAAATAGGACTATGGTACGTGGAAAACCTAACACTGAACAGTCTGTAAAATATGGATGGAAAACACTAGTAGTTAAATGGGACTATGGTAAGGGAAAACCTAACACTGAACAGTCTGTAAAATATGGATGGTAAACACAAGTAGTTAAATGGGACTATGGTACGGGGAAAACCTAACACTGAACAGTTTCTAAAATATGGATGGTAAACACAAGTAGTTAAATAGGACTATGGTACGGGGAAAACCTAACACTGAACAGTCTGTAAAATATGGATAGTAAACACAAGTAGTTAAATAGGACTATGGTACGGGGAAAACCTAACACTGAACAGTCTGTAAAATATGGATGGAAAACACTAGTAGTTAAATGGGACTATGGTAAGGGAAAACCTAACACTGAACAGTCTGTAAAATATGGATGGTAAACACAAGTAGTTAAATGGGACTATGGTACGGGAAAAAACCTAACACTGAACAGTCTGTAAAATATGGATGGTAAACACAAGTAGTTAAATGGGACTATGGTACGGGAAAAAACCTAACACTGAACAGTCTGTAAAATATGAATGGTAAACACAAGTAGTTAAATAGGACTATGGTACGGGGAAAACCTAACACTGAACAGTCTGTAAAATATGGATGGTAAACACTAGTAGTTAAATGGGACTATGGTAAGGGAAAACCTAACACTGAACAGTCTCTAAAATATGGATGGTAAACACAAGTAGTTAAATAGGACTATGGTACGGGGAAAACCTTACACTGAACAGTCTGTAAAATATGGATGGTAAACACTAGTAGTTAAATGGGACTATGGTACGGGGAAAACCTAACACTGAACAGTCTGTAAAATATGGATGGTAAACACAAGTAGTTAAATGGGACTATAGTAAGGGAAAACCTAACACTGATCAGTCTGTAAAATATGGATGGTAAACACTAGTAGTTAAATAGGACTATGGTACGGGGAAAACCTAACACTGAACAGTCTGTAAAATATGGATGGTAAACACAAGTAGTTAAATGGGACTATAGTAAGGGAAAACCTAACACTGAACAGTCTGTAAAATATTGATGGTAAACACTAGTAGTTAAATGGGACTATGGTACGGGGAAACCTAACACTGAACAGTCTGTAAAATATGGATGGTAAACACAAGTAGTTAAATAGGACTATGGTACGTGGAAAACCTAACACTGAACAGTCTGTAAAATATGGATGGTAAACACTAGTAGTTAAATGGGACTATAGTAAGGGAAAACCTAACACTGAACAGTACTCAGTGTTCAGGTCTTGATATTGCATAAACGTACACCAAATGTGTTGAGTCTTAAAGGTTTGAATTTTTAAATTATATTAGAAAAAGTCTCTTTTTAACCGTTTTCCTTCATTATTATGGTGATTATGTATACACATATCAGGTGGGCCTCTTTTTAAGTCGTCTTTTTGTAATGTTTTTGTTACACATAAAATAGATGTGTGTTACTATAAATCTTGATGAATCAGCACTACTTAGAATGAAGAGCTTTGGGATTGAATTAACATATAGCTGATATATTGAGCTTGTAGAATTTATAATATTCTTTGTCTACTGGTAGTAATTGTTGCTTACTTTCAATCTTTTGGGAACTGGAATTTTAAATCTAAAGATTCTTAAGAATAAAGAAATCAGGTTGTCAGAAGTTATATAATAAATTGTAGAAATTGAATTATACCCAGATATAAAGATCAGCAACAGGAATTGGTTCCTTGATGACTCATGCATCGATAAGTTCTATCCAAACAGGATCAAAATTACAGTTTGTATTGGTAGAATAATTTGCTGGGCAACTCATTTTGCAAATCATTATGCCACATTGATCTATTTATATTGTATGTTTGAAGTACTGGTAATATCAGTTATATTAATATGAACTATGACAACAAATGCTTAATATTGATAGCATGTAAAAATAAGTGTTGTATGCTATATTACAGAGTTTAAATTGGAGGCAATGTGATAATTATCAACAAATTATTGTCCATAAGTAACCAAAAAAAAGAGAGTACTAGTTATGAAGTAAAAGCACTGAACTGGTTCACAAAAAAACATTTAGTTGGAACTCTTTCTGCAGCCCTCTGCTTAAGTTCTGATGTGTAGGATCCCAAGGGCTCACAAATACATTTAGTTCTTTCTGCAGCCCTCTGCTTAAGTTCTGATGTGTAGGATCCCCAAGGGCTCACAACAACATTTAGTTCTTTCTGCAGCCCTCTGCTTAAGTTCTGATGTGTAGGATCCCCAAGGGCTACCAACAAAATTTAGTTCTTTCTGCAGCCCTCTGCTTAAGTTCTGATGTGTAGGATCCCAAGGGCTCACAAATACATTTAGTTCTTTCTGCAGCCCTCTGCTTAAGTTCTGATGTGTAGGATCCCCAAGGGCTCACAAATACATTTAGTTCTTTCTGCAGCCCTCTGCTTAAGTTCTGATGTGTAGGATCCCCAAGGGCTCACAAATACATTTAGTTCTTTCTGCAGCTCTCTGCTTAAGTTCTGATGTGTAGGATCCCCAAGGGCTCACAAATATATTTAGTTCTTTCTGCAGCCCTCTGCTTAAGTTCTGATGTGTAGGATCCCCAAGGGCTCACAAATACATTTAGTTCTTTCTGCAGCCCTCTGCTTAAGTTCTGATGTGTAGGATCCCCAAGGGCTCACAAATACATTTAGTTCTTTCTGCAGCCCTCTGCTTAAGTTCTGATGTGTAGGATCCCCAAGGGCTCACAAATACATTTAGTTCTTTCTGCAGCCCTCTGCTTAAGTTCTGATGTGTAGGATCCCCAAGGGCTCACAAATACATTTAGTTCTTTCTGCAGCCCACTGCTTAATTTCTGATGTGTTGGATCCTAAGGGATCATTGATTCTTCATTTGAGTTTTAATTGCATATTTTTCAGTTATTTTTCAATATTTAATTTATTGCCATTTGAACTTTTCCTTCATGAGCCTTGTGCCAGAAACTTCAAAAGTCTAGGGCTGGTAACCATTATTATTAATAAATGTAGCAAAATATATAAAATAAAATGTTTTGCCTTGGCATTAAAAGACTTCAGAATAGCTTTTGATGATCCTGAATCTGGCGATGCTTCCAATTTTCTTTTATACTAAATTCCAGAGCAACTATCTTCTTTTTATATTATAGTTGTATCTCCAATGTTTGAGAACCATAAGGAACCAAATCACAAAAAGTTTTATTGACCTATACATTTCTCCATCTAATTTAGAAGCACAATTTTTCAAATAATTTGTCCTTGCATAAAACTACTCATGCAGGCAGTAACTTTTTGTAGGATTTTTGATGCATAGGGTTAACAAGAACAGTTGGCAGTACTGTTTTTTTTCCAATTTTTGTCATGGTTTCTCTGTGCTATCACAATTCAAATCACAAAATTGATACTCTGTTATAGGTTTTCAATTTCTAACCTTGCCTGTAATAATGCAGGAGAATGCAGTCTGATCATTCATTATATACCCTGGTTGATGAAGGCATTTTCTCTTCACTTTCATAAAATCTTAGTTAAATTAAATATTTGATGATAATGTCATTAGAATGAAAAATACATTTCTGTTTAAAAGCTTCAGGAAGTTTGATGCCAGATTTAGTTAAAATTCATTCAGGAACAAAAAATTAATAATCAATAGAACCCAAGGAAGGTTAGAGAATGGTGAAAATTGGATAATTTGACTTGTTATTGGCACTTCTAAATCAAAGTAAAGGATTTGTTTGGTAACAGTTGAGAACTATTACAGATCAAACAAATTGAAAATTGTCTTCATTTGGAAAGAAAGATTTTAGTGTAAAAATTTGTATGAATTCACTTCAAATGAAAAAATGAACACAAAAACAGAATTCTGTCCTCCTCTCCACTATTATAACTTATCAATACATTTTAAGTTGCCATAACAAACCCTGTAGGTGTACAAGAGAAGTCGGTACTACTTACGATATCTCTATGGGAATACCTGATTCAACCTCAGGTTTTGGGTGAACAAGAGAAGTCGGTACTACTTACGATATCTCTATGGGAATACCTGATTAAACCTCTGGTTTTGGGTGTACAAGAGAAGTCGGTACTACTTACGATATCTCTATGGGAATACCTGATTCAACCTCTGGTTTTGGGTGAACAAGAGAAGTCAGTACTACTTACGACATCTCTATGGGAATACCTGATTCAACCTCAGGTTTTGGGTGAACAAGAGAAGTCGGTACTACTTACGATATCTCTATGGGAATACCTGATTCAACCTCTGGTTTTGGGTGAACAAGAGAAGTCAGTACTGCTTACGATATTTCTATGGGAATACCTGATTCAACCTCTGGTTTTGGGTAAACAAGAGAAGTTGGTACTACTTACCATATCTCTATGGGGATACCTGACTCAACCTCTGGTTTTAAGTGAGGTTTTTCTTGCTCAATCTTATTTTCTGTGTAATATTTATGGACTATTGTTTTGTTATATGCTTCAAAATACCAATGTTCTTACGTTACTTTTGATCTATTTGACTTTATTTTGTATCCCCATGAAAAGAGGGAGACAACTATTGTTTTGAACCTTTTTGACAGTTTATTCTGTTAATTGACAAAAATAACTGAATATATTTTGAAAAAGATGATTTGGTGCCTTATCTATTCAATCTAGACAAGTTGCTGTAATTATAACCCGAATAATTCAGTTCAGTCGTTATATTCCACTGCTCTATGATGGCTACATTAATGCCTGAAGGCCTTGTCAATAAAAAAATCGTCAAATAATCATTCGGAATTAGATCGGGATTTACCTATCTCGATTTACCTATCTCGATAACATTGAGCTATTGAGCTATTAGCTGATTGGCTCTCTCTCACAGAGAGCACCAATCAAAATCCTGGATTCGTGACGCGTTTTATTGTATAAAGAATTCAGGCCCTCGAGAGTCCATCACGGGGAGGGACAGAATTATTCAGGTTACTGTAATCACTGAAGATTTAACATTGACTTCAAATTCCCAAATAAGAATAACAATAAGATAAGAATTTTCTCCAAGGAGGGTTCTCAGCAGGACTGGAACATGTTATGAGTTTAAATTTCTCAACCTTCTTCAGTGGAAGAACAAATGATACAGTGAAAAAAATCAAAATGAATAAGAAATTAATTTTAATTTTCTCCTGACACTTGACTGTTTTTGTCAGTTTGAATGGTAAATTATCAGATTCTATTACATAAAAAAGTCTTTCAGTATGAAAGAGCATAAAGCATAAACTGTAGGAACAGTTGAACAGCTTTAAAACTGTAATCATTAAAAAGTCAATAGAGAATTTAGAACATTTTCTATTTTTCCCTTTTAAGTTTCATGAAAAAATAAAAAATATGCCACATTGACCTGTAAATGTTCAAATCTTTGTCTCAACATTCCCTTTAATGAGTGACCAGATTCAAAGTGTATTCAAACATTCAAACTTCAGTTAACCTTCAGTGATAATTCATGTCACTATAGCAACAAACTTTTGTCTGAAGA